AAATTGAGCATAAAGGCATCTCAGTCGAGCGCACGAAGCGAAATGATTGTGCTTTCGTATGTTTTCGTAGCCCGAACCTAAAATAAAGAGCCGAGCAAATTCGAAGTGGTGTGGGTGATAACTTCCGAAAAATAGTGTACAAAACGCTTTACACTACGTGTCCGGTCTATGTGTTCTCTGGTTAGTGGTTCTATTGTTAGTGATAGAGTTTATCAGCAAACCAATTATTTTATTTTTAAGATTCATACTATGAATCTTTAGGATATAAGATTTTTGCATCCCATTTTTTCCACTTTCAAATGATTCAGGATATAAACACAAATCGGGAAGAAAGTATTGCGCATTCGGTTACGTGAACATTAATTATGTGGCATACTTAAATACTATTAGCATTTCAAAAATTTTATTGGTAAACTCAATAATATATAAATCAAAGTTAAACTAACATGTTTACATTACTAACGTAGAATTCATAAATATTATCAACGAACTTTATGTTCTCAACCATTTTTGTACTTTTTTCCAATACCATTAGCTTAAGGTTGTTTATTAGGAATGTAAATCGTTTCGTCTAATTTTTCAGCTCGAGGAGCTCGTTCTCCGTTTTAATATCTTCTGCTTAGGCTTCAATATTAAGTTGCAACTTTCCCACGGAAAAGTCCATATCTCTATTCGAATACCTCTCATTTTGTAATTAAGGATGTCAATTTCTCACGTAAACTATTGTTGTTGAGCAGATTTTTGCGTCGGCGTCGAATGCAATTGTTGTCGATAAATGTTTCAGATATCTTTTTCCTTTGACGGTGCTTGTTTTAAAGAAATTCATTTGTATGTGGGTTTTCGTACTGTTTCGTACTGGTAATATTACCCATATTGTAACGTGTTTCCTTTTTCGACGAAAATAAATTCGTTTTATCGTTAGTCTCAATGGTTAAATTCAAAATCCCTTTCATCCATTTAAAATTGAAAACCGTGGGGAAAATTTCATAAAGTCAAGTAATAGCGATTTTATTCTTGATTTCGATTCCTTTACATATGGACGGTGTTTGAGCGACAGACACAACTATAAAATGGAAAAATATGAATATATGTAAAATAAAATATAAATATAAATAAACATTTTCATTTAACCAATATTAACCCAAAAATTAGCGAAATTTTTTTAAGTAAAGTGAATTGTGAAAGTGAGTTTACGCATGTATACCAAACACTAGGTTTCAGAGATTGAAATAAAAACCAATTTTTTTAGCGTCAATGTTAAAATAGACTAAGGCCATATTTTTATACCCTGAACCCATTTTCAATGGGAAATCAGGGTATAATGCTGTTGTTGAAATGTATGTAACAGACAGAAGGAGGCGTGGCAGACCCCTTAAAGTATATATATTCTTGATCAGGGCGACGGCCTGAGTTGACTTAGTCCTGTCCGTCTGTCTGTGTGTCCGTATGCTTAAACGCGTCGATTTGAGAAGATATAAGAGCTAGAGATTTCAATTTTTTTAAATGTCCGTATATACAACGCGGATATCGAGTTTATCATTAAAAATCCATAACTCATCCCGATCTTTTTTTATCGATAAAAAACCTTATCGAAAACCAGTTATAAAATTATATCTTCTACACCGTTATTGCTAGAAGCTTCAAATTTTTAATGTATGCTTATATATATCCATGTTATAATCATAATCTAAAAGTTTCATGAAGATCGTATATCCAAAAAAAAGTTATTAAACAATTGAGTTCTCATAGTAAGCGCACACTGCCGCCCATGTGTGTTTATGCTTGTGTGTGTATGTGTGTGTAAATGTTTATGTGTATGTGTGTGTGTGTGTGTGTGTGTGTGTGTGTGTGTGTATGTATGTATGCCTGTGTGTGCGTGCGTGCTTGTGTGTGTGTGCGTGTTTCTTGAGTAAGCTGAAAGACGCGAAAAATTATTGAAATAGCTATTACTCCAAGGGTTCAGGGGATCTCGTAGTCGAGCAGTCTCGACTAGAGC